GCGAACTCAGCAGCATGGTCCACGTTCCTCCCCAATGCGCTGCATCTCGTCGTGAGTCGTGACGGTGGAAGGTGCAAGGAAGGAAGCCAACACAGCAGAACCCTCTTGCTCTCTTCCGTCTCTGTTGACGATGTAGGAAGGTACGCCTCTTCCAGTGCGCCTGCCCGTGTTCGCCTGCTCATCAACCAGGCTGTGGAATGGCAAGAAGCACCAGTCGTCTAAACAGCAACCATGGCGTAGAGGGCGTTCCTGCCTTCATCAGTCACAGACTCACAGTTACTATCGAGGAAGCTAAGGTACTTGTTCTTTCCATTTGCGCCTTCCTTCCTTCCATCTCAGACCCCAGAGCGACACGCGGCTTCCTCGCACTTGCAATCAACCAGACTGTTTTAGCTCCTTCCCGTCCCTGCGCCAGGCGCATCTCACCTCGCTCAGCCATTTGACTCTGACGACTCTTTCTCCTTCTCTTTCTCTGTCGCTTCCGTTTTGCCGCCAAACGTGTCCCGTCGCCTTACCTTACACGATGGAGGAATGTCAACTCTACTCTAACTCCGACCTTTACTTCTATTCTTTATATTTTTATCACGACCTCTGTCGTATCGGAGCCAGGCCTTCCCGGCCACAAAACTCACTCGGCCAGACCCCGACCAACACCTCGCCCCCAATCACCGTCCACAACGACACCTCGCCGTCCAACTTGCTTGCCGTACCCAGCGTCAAGCTTCTGCAATGCATCGCCATCATATGCCGTGAGCTTAGGTACATGCTTGTTGCTTCCGGGGAACATGCGCCTCCCCCTCCTCTTCCCACCAACCACCACCGTCTCCTCCCGCCATCCATACGAAGTACCTACGGACGTCTCGCATCTCGCTCTTACCCCAGAATTCCCTACTGAAGGCTCCCGTCATCCTCGCCCCCAAATCGACCCTAACACACTAAAGCCAACCTATCCAACCTTGTTGGCCGCCACCGATGCTACCAAACTCTCTTGATCCCGTCTTCGCAGACTACGGTTCTCCAGATGACTTTCAATCACCCAAAATATCACGACAACGGAGGCATCCTCAACATGTTGATGATATCACTCTGCATTGCCAGTCTGCCCATCTAATCTAAACGCCCTGGTCGAAAAACCGATGCCTTATTTGGCTCCGGGGCACGCTAAGAAGCGGTGCCGCCGTCGGCCATGCCCGCCATGCAACACCTCGCCCACTCGCCGAAGAAACCTCAATCCCGGCGGTGGATCCTCTCGCTCTCTAGCCGCTTGGCTATCCCGAAATTTAATGCCAATGCTGCCCGGCCCTGCCCTGGCGACCGCTTGCAAATTTCCAGCGACGATATTCCGCTCGCCTTATTTCCGCTACTCTGTTTCAACCATCCGCCCGGAGAGCCGCCCAAGCCCAAGTCGGAGTACGGATAGTTACTAGCCTGGAGCCTCATCCCACTACGAATATGTACAATTTATCAGATCAGATTCGAGCTTTATTGACTCGACTCCGCTGCGTCTGACGGGTGTGGTGGACCAGGCTTCCGCCAAGACGCGGAGCTGCTCCTGCGCATGCTAAGCCCACTCATGTCGAACATGTCTCCCTGCGAACTGCGACCATCTTCACCACAGCCTGAAATGCTACTGGCGACCACTATTGTTGAAGATCGGCATTGTCAACTGACATCCACAAGTTGTGGTGGTTGGAGGCGCAGACGCAAGCTAAGCTGTTCACGACCACCAGGTCTCGTCCCGCACAGCGTCCAACGCATTCGAACTGGTGGTCATGCCCGGCAAGCAACCAATGGCTGTCGGACATCTTGGCGGTTGCGAGTTGTCGGGCCAAAACCACCTACGACTCAAGCTGGCGACGCACTGCAAAACGGCGCCCTAGAAGTCCGGCGCTGCGCTTCTGCAGGAGGCGTAAACTAGTTGAGCGATCAAGTCTACAGCTACTGAGAGCAATCCACTTGCAATACAAAGTGCGCTCTCAAATGGCCAAACAGCTTCTTCCATCGACAAACCGAGCAGTCAGCCAGTCATGAATCTCTCAATCCGAGAATGAATGGGGCGCTGATTAACAGCACGCGACCTCTCTCTCTCTCGTTCCCCTGAATCCGCACCAGCCACACGAGGTCAATTGCTTTTAGGGGCTTAACGCTGCCCTCCAAACTCCAGGTCATCCACACCCATTTCCGCACCTACCGGGATGTCGGTGCTTGCCCATCTCCGTTTCCCTCCCCTCCCCAACGGTGGAGGAGACGTGCCTTGTGCGAATCTCACTGCTGGAACGGGACCCATTCCTCTTACGCTGAGCAGAGGGTGACGGGCCGCCCGCCGCTAGACAGCCTTTCTGACGACAGCAGCTATTGTTTCTGGCCGGCATCCAGCCGTCTTGGCGTTGCAGAATGTCGGCTCTCGGGCACATTCGCAAATGTTGAAACCTCGATGCGATGTCCGGCCAGTATCTGCTGCTCTGATCTTTTTCATTTGCGCTACATTTCTCAATACGAAGTAAGCATAAACAAGCCTTTTCATGTAAGGGGGAAAAAAGGGTCTATGGATCAATATCCCGGCTTTCGCAGGTCAAGCTTCCCGTCAATCTCACAACTCCGAATGAGATGTCAGCAGCACCCACACGGCACACGCCAGGCCACTGGCCAGTGTGCCAGTGTGCCAGTGCCAGTAGCCGACCCCACGGCTGGGCGACAAATACGCAGTACGCGGGAACTGATGGCGATACGCACCTGTCAAATTTCTCAAGGGATCCCTTGGCCAAGTACCTATAAGGCATGTACACTGCAAATACTGCGTACTGGACCCCGGTGTGATGCAACCCGCGCATCTGGCTGGCTGTTTCCTGCGAAATCAAGTGCCGATTGTGGATAGCAAAAGCTTGACGCGTACAACCTGCAAATGGAGACACGCAATTTCTGCTCATCCCCCACACTGCCGGCTCCTCGCTTGAATCGCCGTCTTGGCTTGCGGTCGTCAAGTCTGAACTCTGGGGAACTGCACCACTTCGTGGATGTGAACATTGAACTGATCCCTCCCGCTGCTTTCGTTTACAGTGTCGTCGCAGCTTACCGCCAGCCAAATATGCAAACCGTCTGCCTTGATTGTGGCTGGAAATCCAGCATGAGCCTCTGGTTGAGCCGCGGATGAGCTCAGACGTCATCCACAGCGCCCAGATGGGGCTCGGGGCGTCTCGCCGACACGTGCAACTCAACTCAATTGCACAGCAATTCATCAGTCCCGTGCCACGTTCTCGAGCTGATCCAACTTCCATTGTCTTGGGATTTCGGTAGCGAATCAGTTCCTCTTGCTGAAAAAAATCGCATCTCGGATACCGAAGTACGGGAATCTTGACAACCCTCAACCAAGATGCGGTCCATTCAAGGTTATCGTCACATCATCCCATCATTGGGCAGTCTCGCCAGAAGCTAAAGCCTCTCGCTCGACAGGAGAGACGTTTGGGTAGAGCTGGGCACGTTTCACGGCCATCATGCTGTTCAACTCAAGTCTACAGTCCACGACACGAGTCTGTCCGGCTTCCTACATCTCGTGATCCAGGCGGCTGCTGCAAAGGGTGTCCTGGCATGTCCCTCCTGCATCGAAGGGAATTCCATGCAACTTCAGAGCCTACGTCATTGACAACTACCGCCATCCCCTGGCTCGCAATCGTCGCCGTTGGTGTCGAAAGTTTTGGATTGCCCTGCTACACGACCCTGTTGCAGACAGCAAAGGGACTCGGGCTCATGCTTGACGGGCTCACCCCGGCCGCGTGTCCCCTCATCGGGAGAATGAGTTCTGCCGCCAATGGCTGCCAAGCCACGGGGCGGAGCAACTGAATTGACTTTTTGCGACAAGCCGCTGTTCCACGGGGACCGCCTGCCGCGTAAGTCTTCTGCGAACTAACGGCAATGTGTGCCGTGATCGCGGCCGATTCGAGGTGGGTCCCGTCTTCCGAGAGTTTGCGCCGGCTAACGGCAAGCACGGGAGCTACCCAGGCGCTGGTAATTTCACCAACGCCTCACCAGGCGACTTGTTTCAAGACGGGAAACACTCGAGAGACGGGGTTTCCTTGAGGATGTGGCTCAGGCCATGGCAGCTCAGAAATAGTAATCACGGACTTTGCCGCCATAGCAAAGAGGCCGTTGTGAACCATAAACGACATCACTGACAATATCCATGTGAAGCCGACCTGCTCCCAACCATTACCTTGCCTCAAAATTAATATAGCGAACTATGTTTTGTTCCGAGTGCAACATCTAATGTGGCTTCAAACACATTCCCATATACCGACAATGTCTATCGACTCTGTGACTACCAAAACTAATCTCACCATGTGAGTCTTACTGGGTTCTACGAGGGCTAGCATCCAGTCGCCTACAACATTTGCAAATGTTCTCAACATCAATTTCATTTTCGACGATCCCACTGCAATCGACTCGCTTGCATGCCTAAGCCAACTCATTTTGTACCACGACGTAAAGCTCAAGAACCAGGAAGTGAAACCAGGCAAATTCGACATGCTTCTAGGTGACTTGTCACCAGAGTACTTTGAAAGAACTCGTATTTCATTCATCGTAGCTAGCGGTATTTACCTCAACACAACTTGGCGAGTAAAGAAGCCTAGTCGCGCCGAAGCGATGTGATTCAAATTCTGTCAACGCCTTTCGCCCTACAGATCAGGGGTTGCTGACATTAGGCAAGTAAGCTTATCCTCGATTCGCTGCAGGAGATTAAATTCTAGAACAATGCCAAAATTACCCGCGCCAGGGACGCGGTAAGATTTGGCCTCACCGCCGCCCCTTGAACACGAACCAAAAGTTCTGAATCCGTCCAAGCTGGGTGGCATTGAGCGGCACAGCCACACGAGAAAAGTTCGCCTTTGTCGCGACATCTTGGCTTAAAAAGGGGGCCAGGGGCCGGACAGGTCTTGTTTTGATGGATAAGTTTCTTCGTCGCACAGTCACTCGCTATCGTCACTCGTTTGAAATAGACATTCGCTATGCCGCAGTTTAGCGTCGTCATCTTGCTGGGCCTTGTAGGCGGCAGTCTCGTCGCCGCAACGCCTTTTGACCAGGAGAAGCAGAACCGCGACGCGGAATGCGATGTGCGTCGGCCTTCCTTCCACATCAGAGCCCGCTCTTGGATCGGGAACTAACGACCATCCATTTGTAGAACGGATGCTTCTTTGGAAGTTTCCCCGGCGGCTCTTGCACCAACGACGCAGCATGCATGTGCACCCAGCAGAAATACCGTGAGAGGTACTTTTGCTGTATGGCTGAGAAGTGCGATGCTTCGGTCCTGCCCGGTGAGCTTCAGCGTTGGCTTTCTTGATGTCCCTGTATACTGACTTGGCTTAGATTCGATCCAGCGCCAGACCTCGGAGTGCGAAGCCCGGAATATGCCATTCACTTTCGACACCGAGGCTGTTTGCAGGATCAAGTTGAGCACGAAAGTCTCGCCGTATCCTACGCAGACGGTGACCGTTACTGCCACTGTTGGAAGTTCTGAGGCTGCTGCGACGGGGACGGGGACGGGAGCCGCATCGACGGAGACGGGAGCTGCGATGACAGAGGCTGCGATGACAGAGGCTGCGACGGGGACGACGACGGCGGCGGGCGCGTCTTCAGTTGTGACTACGGGGAGTGCGAGTTCCTCCACAGGTGAATCTGCTGCTTGGAGGGAAGCGCCGCAAAGGAAGATTGTGATGGGTGCTGCTATCGTGGGAATTGCTCTCGGGACGTTTTTGTGGTAGCCGTCTTGTTCGCAGCTGCTATGTCCCCTTTACTGGTACAGCGCGCCGTTTATGGCATAACTTTGTAATAAATCTATATCAATACTTCTCGCCTTATGAATGATCCGCTAACTTAGTGCTGTTGGAGCTGGGGGTATGAAACCGGCAATCGGTACGATTGTGAACTTGTACAGTGTTCTCTCAACTGTGAAGGTGGGCGTAGCAGCAGATGAAGAACCAACGGTCTGGGTGCTAGAGAATTCAAGCGTGAATGAAAAGGAGACATCGCCGGTGGTGTCTGTGGACGGGGATGTTGAGGCGCTGTTTCCAAATGATGGACATGACGCATTGAGAGACGACGGAGATTTCAAAAGCGATGAAAAGGAGGAAGACAACGTTGAATCCAAGGATGGAGCGTACTCCAGTGGCAACGAGCCTGAAGAAGTATGAGTTTGAAAAGAAGAAGGAGAAGAAGTAGAAGTGATGAGCCCGGAAGACATAGTTGTTGCTCTCGACGGAGTGCTCGATAGGGTTGAGCCAGTCCCCTCAGTTGTCAACACGTTTGATGCTGATCGCGTACCATTGGTCCCGAGATTTCCCTGGCTAGACGCCTGTCATGGGGGCGCCAGAGACGATGGGGTTCCAAGTCACTCTATCAGGCCCCACTGATGACGTTGAGGAGGTGTTGCTGAGACTAGATGTGAAAATAGCCGTTATGGAGCTCGAAGGTGCTACAATGCTTGCGAAGGTCCTAGTTGTTACTGTCAAATTGCCGATAGTACCGGTCACCGTGTTCCCTGGGCCCGTGGCACTATTAACGCTGGTGAACAACAACGAGCTGACAGATCCTGTTCCGAGGGTGACAATACTGCTCGTTCCTGGAGTAATATTGCCGACCACGACGGTTACGATAATCGTTGAGACTATGCTGCTTAGTACGGTCCTCGATTCGGTCACGGCAGTGGTGGTAGCGGTAAATGTTTTCGCCGTAACTCCTAGACAGGAACAGGCAGAAGAGTACATAGCAAATCCTCTGCATGCAGACGCGTAAATTGAGATGCTCTGCGACGCCGACGCTTGTCTTTTCACGGGCTGTGGAACATTGTCCGGCGTCGCTGCCGCTGTGAATGGAACTGCGCCGCCCTGCACGGTGAGGGTTGAGGTGACGATCACGGTGGTTGGACGTATCACTACTTCTGTTGCAGTCCTTGAACACAAAACCATTCTCAGCTAAGTTCGGCAGGGCTCATATGCTGGTGGTAGAGGGCTTACGCGGGCTCGAAGACGGTGACTGCCAAGTGGCTTGAGCAGTCGGCCGTTCCACTACGAGTGTAGTAGGCAGACGCAGCAATCGCTGTCCTTTATCAGCTTTCATCTCATCCTTCCATGGGTTAATATGTCAGAGGCTGCGTAGGCACAACTCACCCCGGAGACAATTGTCCCGAGCGCACTGGGCAGCGGACAGGCCGCAGAGAGATGTGAAGACAGCGAGAATATAAAATCTCATATTGATATGATGCTGTATGGACTGGAAATACGTGACGGTTGAAAATGAGAATTTCAATATTTTAGAGATCTCTAGTGTTTATATCTCGTAGTTGGCATGTCAGGGCAGAGACTAGAGCATGCCCGCAATCGTTTGTGGAGATGAAAGCATTCCATCATCGGTTCTCTCCGAGGAATCATAGTCGACGAAGGGCATTTTGAGACAGCTCTCTTGTAGTGAACTTATAGCCATCCAAAAGCCTTCTCGCTGGGCGTGGCTTTTGGGAGTATCAAGAGCACCCGAAAATAAATGACATTGGGGCGAAGCATCAGGCAACCTTGACAGTCACCTGCCTGGCACCTCACCCTCAGATCAATGAGTCACCACAGCGAGGATTCATACACTTCTCCCATCCCATCATTTTTAACAATCAACAAGACAACCATCTCTCGTGGTGTAGTGGTAACATGCGTGCTTGTCGCGCACGCGCCCCTGGTTCGATTCCGGGCGGGAGAGATATCCTTTTTGCTGCTTTTAGGAGCTCAGCACGACTGGAGCAGAATGCCGACAGGCTGCTGATGCTTTGCTACTGATAATTGACACATATGGGCAACTATCGAGACCTGAAGCAGAGTCAAACGTTGCAGTTGAATTTCCGCTAGCCTGGTAGTGAGCCCCTATTATCGATCTGCGCTATCTTGAGAATTTCTTTCCACTATCACTATTATACTGAACGCCCCTTGTTGTTAGTTCAAGCGTTTCCGCCGTCAATACTGTCTGTCGTCTTTCTCGCTTTGTCCTCGTGACCGCGTGGCCATCATCCTCGTAGTCTCTATGAATGAATTTACATTAGTCTCGTTTTTCAATCTAGGCAAAATCAAAAGGCTGCTTTCATTATCACTGCTATCTCACAGAGTTTCCAACTCGTTCGCTTTTCACGTGTTGGTCACCTTGAGAGGTCCGTACCTTGCTGAGCCCTAAGAGACGGTCTTGCGCAAGTAAAAGAATATTCTGTGAACCTTGATGTCCGATTTTCATTTTTAAAAGGGTGCAGATTCTAGACCTTTTTTTCCCCTTCTTTTTCCCCTTCCGGCATCCAAATTTTTGACGCTCTGAAACTCAAGCTGTTGGCCTCCTCTACTGTTTTTACATGCACAAATCCATATGGACTCACGGAAGATCCAGCTCCAATTTCGTTACAACACACTGCACCTTTTCTCCTACTTTGGATACAATTCACAAGGCCTCTCCAGGAACGTCTTCTCCCACTTTCAAATCACCACCAGGTCGATCCGAACACCCAAAAACCCTAGTCCTCCACGGTATGGACGCAGTCAAGATTGTCACCAAGCGTGGTCCGGCGCTCGCAGACCTTCCCACCGAGCTTCTGCACATTATCTCTTCCTTCCTGCCTCCAAAAGATCATCTCAATTGGATGTTGGCTTCGCTTCGATTTAACTCGGCCCTCGGCGTCCGCCTCGTAGCCAACGCCGTTGCACGAGGAGATAGTGTTGCCTTTGGCTGGGCCTGCGAAACCGGACGTCTCGACATTATGAGAAGATGCATGGATCTCGGAATGAAGCCCAGTCTGCGTGCGTACACGAGTCAGCGAGCGTGTACAAGTCAGCTGGATCCAGACCACGGAATCTACTATAGTAGGAGATCGCGATATCAGCGAAAACACCTTCCTATGATTGGACTGAGCATGCTTTCAGGCCAGCTCGACGCCGTCCGATTGCTGATTTCAAGATGAGCTACGCTTGACGACTTGCCTTCTTGGCCCTGTCACTAACTCCCCCCTTGCCCCTTGCCAGGCTCGGCTCGAAACCCATTGTACTATGCGCGTCATGTAACAATGTTGCGTTTTGTGTTGGAGGACGAGGCTCGTCGACATGCAATCTTCGATAATGCGGACAACAAAGTCCACGGTCGCGACTTTTTGAAAGTATTGCTGTATGAGGAAGCGGCCGACGACACCATCATCTTCACCGTCGAGAATTGCCTTCGTCATGAAGATCGATGCCTTCCTAGGGCTGTATGCGACGCTGCTGGACGAGGTCGACTGAGTCTCATCGAGAAGCTTTTCAAAGCGGCACCTTCACTGACAAGGCACGACCGCCCACTGGAATACATATACGCAGCTTTGCAAAGGGATCCCACATCATCTTGGTCATGTAGCATCCAGCGTATGCTGGAAGCGCTCAACTCGGCTGCGTCGATCTTACCACTGAAAGGTAATAATGCTATTGATTATGGCGACCTTTTAGATGATTTTTTAGAAGACGTATGGTACGATGATGGAGTGAGTGCGTACAATCTCGAATGGCTTCTGAACAACGGTCTGGTGATATCTATTAAAGAGCGCTTGGCTCTCCATGAATGCTTCACGTACGAAAGATTCATTTATGGCATTGGGTCCGTGCAGCACCAGAAGATGACCGTCCTTCTCCGCTTCGATCGCTCCCTTGCTCTTCATATCCCGTTCGGAGACGCAAACTACCCGCACAGCATCGCCTATCCTGATTTTCTTGATCTCCTTGGAAGCCAGCTGATAGATGGAAATTCGGCACTGCGTAAAATCTTGAATCCTGGGAAGCTTCTCAGTCAGATTCTCACGAAAGGCACGTGGGAGGGGACTTTACACCGCACGGCCAGGATCATGGAGACATTGGTGGCACTTGGCGCCTCAAAGCAACCTTATGAGAATCTTATGAGGTGCCATGTCATGGTCTTCGTGTGCATGATCAAATCAGACCCTAATGAGGGCGGATGCCTCACCCTACCAGACAGTACAGTACACGACATGTCTGGCGACGAAGAAATAACGATATCTGCCCCTTCCTAGCGATGTGGGATCTGCTCCACTCGCGTACACACATACTCACTTGTCATCTGGCTTCATGGTTTCTCATACACTCTTACAGTTATTCTTGTTCGACACGCCTACTGGTGGACGCCCTCTGCCCTGTTGCCAAGGGACGCACCGGCGTAAAATAATAAACACACACACACACACACGACGATGAAGACGCTAACGAGGAGGAGGACGACCACGACGGTAACGCAGGGCAAGGTGCGTACCCACCGGAAAAGTAGTCGCTCTAGCGCAGAAAAATACATTATCTCACCGTGAAGGCTTACTTACAATTATATATAACTGACCATAATCTGAATTCGTAGCTAATTCCCACGATATTATTTCTTTTGAAGCGTCTGGGTCTACTGCGACTCTCATACCAGAACCGCCCCCTTCAGCCATGTCCTTATCCTCAACTATCCCTCAAAAGCACATGATAGTCAACAGTCCAATCACGAAAACCATCAACCAAAAACGGTAAAGATCCAATGTTCCAATACATTGACAACTATGGACTTTACACGGCACCAACGTAACACCAGAAGCACTATGCCCTCCCACGATCAAGTCAAAATCGCCTCCATCAAATCGTGACACGTCACTCGATTAAAATACACCTTCAGGTGGTTTAATATCAACAACAGTCCCCACCGCTCCCTCAAGAATTTGAGTTCCAAT